CACTGAACCAGGTCCAACGTGTGTCCATGTTCATGCGTGGGACCAGCCACCCACTGAACCAGGTCCAACGTGTGTCCATGTTCATGCGTGGGACCAGCCACCCACTGAACCAGGTTAAAAGAGTCAGTGAGGCTGAGAAAGTCCTTCACCAGCAGCTTCTCTGGACAGCATACATGAATGTATAAATTGGGAAATTATATTGATGCATAAGTCTGCTGTGCTTATGAGGAGGAACAAGGGGAACAAGAGACTGAGTTTTTTTGGTCCAGACAGAACAGTTTCTTTAAGTGAGAAACGTTTTGTCCCCCATCCAAAGAACTTCCTCAGTCTACGGCCTGTCAACCAGATCTGTCCCATGGGAAGCCTTCACTGCTGTGTTTCAGGCCAACCTCTTGTTTGAATCTCAAAAGTAGGCTTTAAACACGTGCCAAACACACCCATCCTAAACAATCAATCATCATGAACAACAATCAAATGTTTTAATCCAGATGGTCAACTTGCTACAAGTAGCAAGAAACACAGCAGTGAAGGCGACCTATGGGACAGATCTGGCCTAGTAGTCTAAGCTTAAGGCAGCATAACAAGCCAACCCTAATTATAGGATTTATCCAAAAGGAAAATATTAAGCCCAAGTAAATAAAGAGAACCCAGTAAAAATAATGAGACAAAAATATTATACTTGGCCATTATTTATTGAGGAAAATTATCCTATATATACAGGTCCTTCTCAAAAAATTAGCATATTGTGATAAAGGTCATTATTTTCCATAATGTAATGATAAAAATGAAACTTTCATATATTTCAGATTCATTGCACACCAACTGAAATATTTCAGGTCTTTAATTGTTTTAATACTGATGATTATGGCATACAGCTCATGAAAACCCAAAATGCCTGTCCCAAAAAATGAGCATATCATGAAAAGGTTCTCTAAACAAGCTATTAACCTAACCATCTGAATCAACGACGTAACTCTAAACACCTGCAAAAGATTCCTGAGTCTTTTAAAAACTCCCAGCCTTGTTCATTACTCAAAACCGCAATGTCAATTGACCTAATTAGTGTTAATTGGTCTTCCAGCTGTTCGTTATTTGCTCAATTTCCTTTTTCCAGCCACTTATTGCTACTTGTCCCAACTTTTTTGGGATTTGTTGACACTGTGAAATTTTGAATCAACATATTTTTCCTTTAAAATGTTACATTTACTCAGATTAAACTTTTGGTCTGTCATCTATGTTATATTACGAATAAAATATTGACATTTGCCATCTCCACATCATTGCATTCAGTTTTTATTCACAATTTGTTTACTGTCCCAACTTTTTTGGAATACGGTTTGTAGATCCCATCCCAACCAGGCTAATCAAAGACATAGTTCTCTTAATTAATAACCACCTATTGGATTTGCTTAATTTGTCTCTAATAAACGGTTATGTACCACAGAGCTTTAAGGTTGCTGTAATTAAACCTTTACTTAAGAAGTCTGATCTTGATTCAGAAATTCTGGCCAACTATAGACCTATATCTAATCTAACTTTCATCTCAAAAATTCTAGAGAAAATAGTTGCAGGTCAGTTACGTGAACATCTGCAAAGAAATAATCTGTTTAAAGAGTTTCAGTCAGGGTTTAGAGCTCACCACAGCACTGAATCTGCACGGGTAAAAGTTACTAATGATATTCTCATGACCTCTGACAAGGGACAGGTGTCTACACTGGTCCTGTTAGACCTCAGTGCTGCATTTGATACAGTTGATCATAACATTCTACTAAAGAGGCTTGAATATGATATTGAAATTACAGGAATGACTCTAAATTGGTTTAAATCATATCTATCTGATAGATTCCAATTTGTACATGTAAATAATAAATCTTCATTATACACCAAAGTTAGTCATGGAGTTCCTCAAGGTTCTGTGCTTGGACCAGTACTCTTTACCATGTATATGCTTCCATTAGGTAAACTTATTAAACAGCATGAGATAAATTTTTCCTTGTTATGCTCATGGTATGCAGTTATATTTGTCCATGAAATCCAATTAATAAAATCAGCTACTTAGACTACAAGCATGTCTTAAAGACATAAAAACCTGGTTGACCTTTAATTTTCTGCTTTTGAACACAGACAAGACTGAGGTTTTAGTTTTTGGACCTCAGCATCTTAGGAATTAATTTTTCAGTCTTTCACTTTCCTTGTGTAGCATTAATCTGGCCTCCAGGTCTAATGTTAAAAATCTTGGTGTTATTTTAGTTAGCTTCTCTCCACTGGCTCCCTGTCAAGTCCAGAATTGAATTCAAAATCTTACTTCTAACCTACAAATCTAAAAAAGTTAAATCTGGTCCTCTGGACATTCAAAAAACAAAGCAAAACAACAAAAAAATGTAGAAACGTTTTGTCTTTCATCCGAAACCTACAAAGCTCTCAACAACCTAGCTCCATAGTCGAGATTTTGTTGTTCCATATTTTCCTAACTGAGTTCAATTTGTGTTTATTTGTCATAGTTTTCATATTTATTTTTCACATTTTTTGTCTATTCTAAAATTGCGCCGCTCCAGGTGGCTGCATGTTGGAGCAGCTCTGCTACTTTCATTCTGAGATTTTGCTTTTGGAAACTTTAATTCCTCTTTTTCTGGAAGTAAATCACATTTTTTGGATGATTGTTTCCTCTGGTATCAGATGCTGTGCAGCTGGAAGGATTTTTACTGAAACTTTTTTAGTTTTGGACATTTGTTATGATGCGTAACCATGGCAACAAGGCAGTTTTCTACAACAACAGCAGCTGATTAACACCTCAAAAGCTCAAATAATATCTCAACTACAGCCCCAAATCTCAAATGAGTTGAAAAGTATGTTCTGTGGATGCATTCTCATCTACCTGCCAGCTGTGCTCGAGTGCCTGACCACTGAGATCCTGGAACTAGCAGGAAACACGGCTCATGACAGTGGAAGGACAGGATTGTCCCTCGGCACCTACAGTTGGCTGTCCACAGCAACGAGGAGCTCAGCAGACTGCGGGGAGGAGTGGCCATTGCTCTGGGAGGAGTTCTGCCCAGCATTCAGGCGGTCCTACAGTCCGGGGGAACCGAGAGGCCAGCTGAGTCTGGGTGGACGGATCGGACGGCATCTGCAGCCAGTTACTTAGGATCCACTGTGGGATGGACCTTTACAAGAGATCCTTCCTGTCTACAGCCATCAGCATCTATAACATCTCTTAATGAAATGAGGATGATGAGTTACTGCAACAAATAATTTCCCTTTGGGATTAATAAAGTATAATTGAATTGAATTGAATATGCAAGGTTAACACAGTGTTAACAGTACAATGAAATGTTTAGGATGAGAAAAACCGATTTGACTCACTAAAAGAATCAAAGAACAAACCAACAAGAAATACTAAGAGCGTGCAAAAAGGGTACACAAAAAAGAACCAAATATTGAAAACATCCATCCATCCATCATCTTTACCCGCTTCTTCCATTTTGGATCACAGGGGTCGCCGGTGCCCATGTCCAGCAATCACTGTGCGAGGGGCGGGGGACACCCTGGACAGGTCTCCAGTCCATCACTGGGACACATAGAGACAAACGAGACAAACAACCATTCACTCTCTCACTCACACCTAGGGACAATTTAGAGTTACCAATCAGCCTAACATGCATGTTTTTGGTCTGTGGGAGGAAACTGGAGCACCCGGAGAAAACCCACACATGCACGGAGAGAACATGCAAACTCCACCCAGAAAGGCCCCCAGACTGGGATTTGAACCAGGGACCTGCTCGCTGAGAGGCAGCAGCTCTACCAGTTGCGCCACCGTGCTGCCCAAGTGAAAACATAATTATAATATTTACAATGTCCTAAAGAGTGATAATGAACAACAACATGGTAGAATATAATGGTGCAGCAGGATGAATTTGAATGAATAGGTATTTCAAGGTAGTCTTATAAGCTAAAGTTATTAGAGTAGACATAAAGTCAGATTAGCTTTTAGAGTAGGCAGTGAGGGACATTTAGAGATGTTGTTTTTAAAAGAAAAAGGTAATATGTGTTGTATATGATTATAGCCTTGAAGAGCTGATAAAAAAAATAGTGTGTATGTGTGTGTAAGAACCAGAAGCAACAAAATGTTTGTTGAAACAGTTCAGGATCTCGTGCTTATTTGACACAGGAACAGAGTTAATGAGAAGTTGTGATGGGAGGTCAGATGATTGGGGGGTGCCTGAGAGAGATTTCATGGTTTTCCAGAATCTGTTAGGGTCATTTAGATTTTTGGAGGTCTGAGATCAGAAATAGTTGCGTTTTGCTGCTTTAACAGCAGTTGTACATTTATTCCTCATCTGTCGAAAACTCAACCAATCAGTGTCTGAGTCAGATTTTTCTCTAAAGACCAGAGATGATCTCTCCTGTGCAGGAGGTCAGCTAGCTCTGGAGTAAACCAGGGGCTGTCTCGTCCCTTTATTCTGAACTGACAAAAAGGAGCATGTTTGTTCACAAAATAAATGAAACTATTATGAAAATAGTTCCAAGCAGAGTTCATGTCGTCAGTTAACAGAATACGATGCCAGTCAAAGTGGAAAACTGATTCAAAACTGATGTTGCTGCTGATCTGTTTCATGTTGCTGTGTTCATTCATCCTCATCCTCCCTGTCCTCTCAACCAGCCGGTCAAAGCAGATGGCCTCTTGTCCTGAGCCTGGTTCTGCTGGAGGTTTCTTCCTGTTAAAATGGAGTTTTTCCTTTCCACTGTTGCCACTGTGCTTGCTCAGGATGGGAGACTGATGAAGTGAAGATTCAAGTCTACTTGCTTCTTTAGATAGAGAACTTTACTAATTGGCTTTTGATGTGAATGTTTCTATAAAGTGCCCTGAGACAACTTTGTTGTGAATTGGCACTATATAAATAAACTGAATTGAATTGATCCAAAAAAGTTCAATCTGGTCCTCTGGACATTCAAAAAAAAAAAAAAAAAAAAAGCAAAAAAGCATTTGTTTTTTTGAATGTCCAGAGGACCAGATTGAACTTTTTTGGATTTTTCTACCTGGATTATTGAGCATGCATCAGGATGAATTGAATTGAGTTGAACATTGATGCACTTTTTAGGCAGGCTCAGAGCAGAGTACCTGCTGAGGAGACTGAGGTTTTTTGGAGTTCAAGGGGTGCTCCTGAAGACCTTTTTTGACTCTGTTTCTGCATAAGCCATCTTCTATGGTGTTGTCTGCTGGAGCAGCAGCTTATCTACATCTGAGAAGAAGCTGTTAGATGAGCTCATCAGGAAGGCCAGCTCTGTCCTAGGATGCCCCCTCAACTTGGTGGAGGTGTTGGGAGACAGAAGAACTCTGGCAAAAATCACAACACTGTTGGACAATGTGTCTCACCCCTGCATGAAGCTGTCCCAGAACTGGAGAGCTCCATCAGGGAAAAACTGCTGCATCCGAAGCATTATCACAGGTCCTTCCTCCCGGCAGCTGTCAGACTGTATCAGACTGTATCAGACTGTATCAGACTGTATCAGACTGTATCAGAATGTATCAGAATGTATCAGACTGTA